GTAAAACATTACTGAGTAAAACACACATGTGCAGTCTCCTAAGTGTCAGTGAAACATTACTGAGTAAAACACACATGTGCAGTCACCTCAGTGTCAGTAAAACATTACTGAGTAAAACACACATGTGCAGTCATCTAAGTGTCAGTAAAACATTACTGAGTAAAACACACATGTGCAGTCTCCTAAGTGTCAGTAAAACATTACTGAGTAAAACACACATGTGCAGTCACCTAAGTGTCAGTAAAACATTACTGAGTAAAACACACATGTGCAGTCTCCTAAGTGTCAGTAAAACATTACTGAGTAAAACACACATGTGCAGTCACCTAAGTGTCAGTAAAACATTACTGAGTAAAACACACATGTGCAGTCTCCTAAGTGTCAGTAAAACATTACTGAGTAAAACACACATGTGCAGTCTCCTAAGTGTCAGTAAAACATTACTGAGTAAAACACACATGTGCAGTCACCTCAGTGTCAGTAAAACATTACTGAGTAAAACACACATGTGCAGTCACCTAAGTGTCAGTAAAACATTACTGAGTAAAACACACATGTGCAGTCACCTAAGTGTCAGTAAAACATTACTGAGTAAAACACACATGTGCAGTCTCCTAAGTGTCAGTAAAACATTACTGAGTAAAACACACATGTGCAGTCTCCTAAGTGTCAGTAAAACATTACTGAGTAAAACACACATGTGCAGTCTCCTAAGTGTCAGTAAAACATTACTGAGTAAAACACACATGTGCAGTCACCTAAGTGTCAGTAAAACATTACTGAGTAAAACACACATGTGCAGTCTCCTAAGTGTCAGTGAAACATTACTGAGTAAAACACACATGTGCAGTCACCTAAGTGTCAGTAAAACATTACTGAGTAAAACACACATGTGCAGTCACCTAAGTGTCAGTAAAACATTACTGAGTAAAACACACATGTGCAGTCACCTAAGTGTCAGTAAAACATTACTGAGTAAAACACACATGTGCAGTCACCTAAGTGTCAGTAAAACATTACTGAGTAAAACACACATGTGCAGTCTCCTAAGTGTCAGTAAAACATTACTGAGTAAAACACACATGTGCAGTCACCTAAGTGTCAGTAAAACATTACTGAGTAAAACACACATGTGCAGTCTCCTAAGTGTCAGTAAAACATTACTGAGTAAAACACACATGTGCAGTCACCTAAGTGTCAGTAAAACATTACTGAGTAAACACACATGTGCAGTCTCCTAAGTGTCAGTAAAACATTACTGAGTAAAACACACATGTGCAGTCACCTAAGTGTCAGTAAAACATTACTGAGTAAAAACACACATGTGCAGTCACCTAAGTGTCAGTAAAACATTACTGAGTAAAACACACATGTGCAGTCACCTAAGTGTCAGTAAAACATTACTGAGTAAAACACACATGTGCAGTCTCCTAAGTGTCAGTAAAACATTACTGAGTAAAACACACATGTGCAGTCACCTAAGTGTCAGTAAAACATTACTGAGTAAAACACACATGTGCAGTCACCTAAGTGTCAGTAAAACATTACTGAGTAAAACACACATGTGCAGTCACCTAAGTGTCAGTAAAACATTACTGAGTAAAACACACATGTGCAGTCTCCTAAGTGTCAGTGAAACATTACTGAGTAAAACACACATGTGCAGTCTCCTAAGTGTCAGTAAAACATTACTGAGTAAAACACACATGTGCAGTCACCTAAGTGTCAGTAAAACATTACTGAGTAAAACACACATGTGCAGTCTCCTAAGTGTCAGTAAAACATTACTGAGTAAAACACACATGTGCAGTCACCTAAGTGTCAGTAAAACATTACTGAGTAAAACACACATGTGCAGTCACCTAAGTGTCAGTAAAACATTACTGAGTAAAACACACATGTGCAGTCACCTAAGTGTCAGTGAAACATTACTGAGTAAAACACACATGTGCAGTCTCCTAAGTGTCAGTAAAACATTACTGAGTAAAACACACATGTGCAGTCTCCTAAGTGTCAGTAAAACATTACTGAGTAAAACACACATGTGCAGTCTCCTAAGTGTCAGTAAAACATTACTGAGTAATCCACACATGTGCAGTCTCCTAAGTGTCAGTAAAACATTACTGAGTAAAACACACATGTGCAGTCACCTAAGTGTCAGTAAAACATTACTGAGTAAAACACACATGTGCAGTCACCTAAGTGTCAGTAAAACATTACTGAGTAAAACACACATGTGCAGTCACCTAAGTGTCAGTAAAACATTACTGAGTAAAACACACATGTGCAGTCTCCTAAGTGTCAGTAAAACATTACTGAGTAAAACACACATGTGCAGTCACCTCAGTGTCAGTAAAACATTACTGAGTAAAACACACATGTGCAGTCACCTCAGTGTCAGTAAAACATTACTGAGTAAAACACACATGTGCAGTCACCTAAGTGTCAGTAAAACATTACTGAGTAAAACACACATGTGCAGTCTCCTAAGTGTCAGTAAAACATTACTGAGTAAAACACACATGTGCAGTCTCCTAAGTGTCAGTAAAACATTACTGAGTAAAACACACATGTGCAGTCTCCTAAGTGTCAGTAAAACATTACTGAGTAAAACACACATGTGCAGTCACCTAAGTGTCAGTAAAACATTACTGAGTAAAACACACATGTGCAGTCTCCTAAGTGTCAGTAAAACATTACTGAGTAAAACACACATGTGCAGTCCTAAGTGTCAGTAAAACATTACTGAGTAAAACACACATGTGCAGTCACCTAAGTGTCAGTAAAACATTACTGAGTAAAACACACATGTGCAGTCTCCTAAGTGTCAGTAAAACATTACTGAGTAAAACACACATGTGCAGTCACCTAAGTGTCAGTAAAACATTACTGAGTAAAACACACATGTGCAGTCACCTAAGTGTCAGTAAAACATTACTGAGTAAAACACACATGTGCAGTCTCCTAAGTGTCAGTAAAACATTACTGAGTAAAACACACATGTGCAGTCTCCTAAGTGTCAGTAAAACATTACTGAGTAAAACACACATGTGCAGTCTCCTAAGTGTCAGTAAAACATTACTGAGTAAAACACACATGTGCAGTCACCTAAGTGTCAGTAAAACATTACTGAGTAAAACACACATGTGCAGTCTCCTAAGTGTCAGTAAAACATTACTGAGTAAAACACACATGTGCAGTCACCTAAGTGTCAGTAAAACATTACTGAGTAAAACACACATGTGCAGTCTCCTAAGTGTCAGTAAAACATTACTGAGTAAAACACACATGTGCAGTCTCCTAAGTGTCAGTAAAACATTACTGAGTAAAACACACATGTGCAGTCACCTAAGTGTCAGTAAAACATTACTGAGTAAAACACACATGTGCAGTCACCTAAGTGTCAGTAAAAATTACTGAGTAAAACACACATGTGCAGTCTCCTAAGTGTCAGTAAAACATTACTGAGTAAAACACAGATGTGCAGTCTCCTAAGTGTCAGTAAAACATTACTGAGTAAAACACACATGTGCAGTCTCCTAAGTGTCAGTAAAACATTACTGAGTAAAACACACATGTGCAGTCTCCTAAGTGTCAGTAAAACATTACTGAGTAAAACACACATGTGCAGTCTCCTAAGTGTCAGTAAAACATTACTGAGTAAAACACACATGTGCAGTCACCTAAGTGTCAGTAAAACATTACTGAGTAAAACACACATGTGCAGTCACCTAAGTGTCAGTAAAACATTACTGAGTAAAACACACATGTGCAGTCTCCTAAGTGTCAGTAAAACATTACTGAGTAAAACACACATGTGCAGTCTCCTAAGTGTCAGTAAAACATTACTGAGTAAAACACACATGTGCAGTCTCCTAAGTGTCAGTAAAACATTACTGAGTAAAACACACATGTGCAGTCTCCTAAGTGTCAGTAAAACATTACTGAGTAAAACACACATGTGCAGTCACCTAAGTGTCAGTAAAACATTACTGAGTAAAACACAGATGTCATTTGACTGTGGTGCCATGTCCATGTGCCATGCCTGGTTTATTTAAATCCAAATATTTCCCCTCCTCCGTTTATAAAATAATTTGCATCCACACATCTGCGTTATCAATCACATTCGTAACATTCCAAACATGTGCGTCTCTTACGTCCTGTCCTGCGTTGGGGAAAAACACAGAAGTGGGCGGAGCTTTGATGCAGACGCCGGTAACGGCACTTTTACAGTCATAGAAGACACTCAGAGTAAAGATGTATGTTTACAAGCACTGACCCCGTCTTCAGCCCTGGTTTAGTCCTGGTTTAGTCCTGGTTTAGTCCTGGTTTAGTCCTGGTTTGGTTGTTTTCGAGCGTGAGTCCCCGCGATCACTTTGCTGCTCTCTGATGTGGAGGATGTTCGCTGCTGCGAGCATCTCACAGCGAACAGTTTTTAAGGTAGTATGATCCATGCTTCAGTGATCAGAGGAATTTAGGGGGTACTGTGGCGTGCGAGAACGCAAAACTCCGATTATCTCTGTCAGATATCTCAGATTTTTGAAAACTCCGTTAATGCATTTGTGTGTAACAAATGCATTAACGGAGTTTTCAAAAATCTCCACTTTGCCCGGAGTTTTTTGTATATATTTGTTTAGAATGTGTAATTTTTTATTTATTTAATGCGATCTACCAATACTACCTTTGCGATCGACTGGTAGATCGCGATCGACGTATTGAGCACCCCTGGTCTAAGTGTTCTCCTCCAGCAAATCTTACTGGTGAGACTTATTCGTAAAATGTAAATCTGTGGTGTTTATGGTCACTGCCAAGAGAGAGCTCAGCGTTCCCAAAGTGTTCCACGCAGAGACAAACTGCTCCTAAAATAGCTTTAGCATTATTAGCATCATTAGCATCATTAGCATCATTAGCATACTCAAGACATACTGTATTTTGGGAGTGGGTTTTTCTGATCTTTACTCACACATGAATAGTCTTCAATAACTCCAGGGGAGTTTTCTTCATATGAGGAGAGAGACCAGGAGGAGAGAGACTACGAGGAGACTGCTGTGGCCTGAGGAGAGAGAGCAGGAGGAGACCGCTGTGGCTTGAGGAGAGAGAGCAGGAGGAGACTGCTGAGGACCAGAGGAGAAAGACCAGGAGGAGCCCGCTGTGGCCTGAGGAGAGAGAACAGGAGGAGATCGCTGTGGCCTGAGGAGAGAGACCAGGAGGAGACCGCTGTGGCCTGAGGAGAGAGAGCAGGAGGAGACCGCTAAGGACCAGAGGAGAAAGACCAGGAGGAGCCCGCTGTGGCCTGAGGAGAGAGAACAGGAGGAGATCGCTGTGGCCTGAGGAGAGAGACCAGGAGGAGACCGCTGTGGCCTGAATAGAGAGAACATGAGGAGAGAGACCACGAGGATAGAGACCAGGAGGAGCCTTCTGTGGCCTGAGGAGAGAGAGCAGGAGGAGACCGCTAAGGACCAGAGGAGAAAGACCAGGAGGAGCCCGCTGTGGCCTGAGGAGAGAGAACAGGAGGAGATCGCTGTGGCCTGAGGAGAGAGACCAGGAGGAGACCGCTGTGGCCTGAGGAGAGAGAGCAGGAGGAGACCGCTAAGGACCAGAGGAGAAAGACCAGGAGGAGCCCGCTGTGGCCTGAGGAGAGAGAACAGGAGGAGATCGCTGTGGCCTGAGGAGAGAGACCAGGAGGAGACCGCTGTGGCCTGAATAGAGAGAACATGAGGAGAGAGACCACGAGGATAGAGACCAGGAGGAGCCTTCTGTGGCCTGAGGAGAGAGACCAGGAGGAGCCTTCTGTGGCCTGAGGAGAGAGACCAGGAGGAGCCTTCTGTGGCCTGAGGAGAGAGACCAGGAGGAGCCTGAGGAGCTGTCACTTTGTTTTCTCAGTTGAGTGACAGCGTTCGATCGTCGCTCGTCTCTTGCGTGTTTTTATGGATCCACCATCGACTGGATTCACAAAGTTTCTCTGCATCTAGTTGTTTGCCAAACGTGACTGACAGACGCACACTGACACACACACACACAGGCACACATACACAGACACAGACACTCATAGAAACACAGCACAGCCTCACACAAACACACTGCCTCTCACACACACACACACACACACAGACAGGCACACACACACAAACACAGAAACACACACAGACAGGCACACACACACAAACACAGAAACACACACAGATGCACACTGACACACACACAGGCACACATACACACACACACACACACACACACACAGACACTCATAGAAACACAGCGCAGCCTCACACAAACACACTGCCTCACACACACACACAGAGACACACACTCAGACACAGACACACACACACGGACCCCTGAGGAGAGTATGGACAGCTGCCTCCACATTGTTCTGGACGTCTCTGAAGTTGACACATTGAGATCTAAAGTTAATTGGCTCGAGGTGAAAAATGTGTTTGAGTTTCTGCTCTGACAGCGACGTCAGCGGAGGATTTAGAGACACACAACCTTCACACACACAACATACATCCTTCACACGCAACACACATCACACTGACACACATCACACGCATGCACAGACACAACAAACACATCACACATCCTTCACACACATCACACATCCTTCACATACACATTACACAACCTTCACACGCGTCACACACATCACACACACACACACAACACACACATCCTTCACACACACATTACACAACCTTCACACACGTCACACACATCACACATACTTCACACACACATTACACAACCTTCACACACGTCACACACACACACACACAACACACACATCCTTCACACACACATCACACAACCTTCACACACGTCACACACATCACACACAACACACACATCCTTCACACACAACACACACCACACATATTTCACACACACACACATTCTTCACACACACACACACACACATACAGACACACACACACACACACACACATCCTTCACACACAACACACACATCCTTCACACACACACACACACACATACAGACACACACACACACACACATCCTTCACACACAACACACACATCCTTCACACACAACACACACATCCTTCACACACATAACACACACACACACATACACATTCATCACACACAACCTTTACACACATTTAAAAGAGATGTGGTTACTATGGTCCAGGGGTGTCCGGAGCCCCCAGAGGAAACCTAAACAGGCACGGGGAGAACATGCAAACTCCACTCAGAAAGACCCTGTTTCGATCACTTTGCTTCACCAAAAATGCCCAGGACCCGACAACATGAGTTAACTGCAGTAAGGCTGTTCTGAGCTTTCAGATTAGGCCTGAAATGTCTGTATTGGTTCATCTTTGCCTGAGCTGAAGTTGGCTGAATGACAACGATTTACTCTCCAGATTCATTAGTGCCATACAATTAAACAAAGTCAACAGACTCCAGAGAAATGTAACTCTGACATTGTGAATTGTCTTCATGATCTTAAAGACGACTTGTGGGTTAGCGAGGCAGAGGGCCGTGTACAGAAACACAGAGGGCCGCACTCAGCCCCCGGGCCTGAGGTTGGTCATGACTGTTATTGTGTGTTTGCATAACCATGGTTCAAATACTTCCTTAAACACAGACCGGTCGGCACTAGATCATAAACGGAATCGGGACGAAACCGGAAGTAACAATCCTACTTTCAAATTAATTTTAGACTAATTCGTCCTTAAGTGGTGACTGGTTAAGTTTTAGGTGTTTAAGTAAGATGGTTAATGGTTAAGGTTGGGGTTATTTTATGGGAATGGCTGGTTAAGTTTAGGCATAAATAGGTAGTTTGTTATTTTTACTTCCGCTTCCGTCCAGATTCCGTATATGATCTAGTGCTGACCAACACAGACCAGACATTTTCCCACTACATGCTGCAAGATGATCAAAAAGAGTAACTTTAAGAGTAACTGTTGCATTATCTCTATTCACATTTCATCATTTTCATTTCATTTCATTTTTTATTGTTTTTTAGTTTTTAGTTTTGTCCTACATCCCCTTTAAGTGACATTAGTCCTACATCCCCTTTAAGTGACATTAGTCTCACATCCCCTTTAAGTGACATTAGTCCTACGTCCCCTTTAAGTGACATTAGTCTCACATCCCCTTTAAGTGACATTAGTCCTACGTCCCCTTTAAGTGACATTAGTCTCACATCCCCTTTAAGTGACATTAGTCTCACATCCCCTTTAAGTGACATTAGTCCTACATCTCCTTTAAGTGAAATTAGTCCCACATCCCCTTTAAGTGACCATAGTCCAACTTCCCCTTTAAGAGCCACATGATGAGTTTCCCGAGCAGCAGCCTGGGAGTGGGAGGAGAGTGGCCGCAGCAGAAGCCCACGGTCTTTCTCTAAAAATAGAAATAGCAATTCTCACGTATTAATAGCTCCTGGAACGACAAAGAAACATCGATTCTGAGTCAGACGTAGCATCATTAGCTTTTCTCAAATTGAAAACAAAAATATGTGTGTTTTTGTTCATTAGATCAGTGCCATGAGTCATTACCGCAGAGAGCAGGTCTGATTAAAGGGGAAGACGGGAAACACTATTTATTTTAATTATGTTTTAGTGAAAAGCATTTGTTTGGAGCAGAGAGAACGATAATGACGGAGATGAACAAAAGTGAGACACATTAAGAAAGTTCTGGAAAGAGGTGTTTAAATGTGAATAAACAGAGTCGTCTGATGTGTGTGGCACAGTTTATGTGTGTGGCACAGTTTATACACAAAGGAACTCAGGACTGAGCAAAACAAGATGGAGACAATCACAGGCATTAATATAATAAATAATCACATCAAATCCTTCAGTTGTTGCAGAAAAATAATAGTTTTTAACCTGGAATTGATCATTGTCAGAGAAGAAGTCTGTCTCACATTCTCTGGAAGACTGCTCCAGGTTTGAACTGGCTCCTTCCAGCAGGGGCCCAGTCCCTGTGCTCCTCAGAGTCCCAGCAGGAGTCCAGTCCCTGTGCTCCTCAGAGTCCCAGCAGGAGTCCAGTCCCTGTGCTCCTCAGAGTCCCAGCAGGAGGCCAGTCCCTGTGCTCCTCAGAGTCCCAGCAGGAGGCCAGTCCCTGTGCTCCTCAGAGTCCCAGCAGGAGGCCAGTCCCTGTGCTCCTCAGAGTCCCAGCAGGAGGCCAGTCCCTGTGCTCCTCAGAGTCCCAGCAGGAGTCCAGTCCCTGTGCTCCTCAGAGTCACAGCAGGAGTCCAGTCCCTGTGCTCCTCAGAGTCCCAGCAGGAGTCCAGTCCCTGTGCTCCTCAGAGTCCCAGCAGGAGGCCAGTCCCTGTGCTCCTCAGAGTCCCAGCAGGAGTCCAGTCCCTGTGCTCCTCAGAGTCCCAGCAGGAGTCCAGTCCCTGTGCTCCTCAGAGTCCCAGCAGGAGTCCAGTCCCTGTGCTCCTCAGAGTCCCAGCAGGAGTCCAGTCCCTGTGCTCCTCAGAGTCCCAGCAGGAGTCCAGTCCCTGTGCTCCTCAGAGTCCCAGAGACCTGGGGACTGGACTAATGTGATGGCACTTCCTGGTTCTAGTCAGGACTTGTATGTATGTGTGTGTGTGTGTGTGTGTGTATTAGGATGTGTGTGTGTGTGTGTGTGTTTAATGCCGATTCTATTAGTGTTGCTGTGGTCCGAGGATGTGTGTGTTCCTATGTGTGTGTGTGATTTTGATGGTGTTACTAACAGTGTTGCTGTGGTCCGTGTGTGTGTGTGTGTGTGTTTCATGGCCATTCTAACAGTGTTGCCGTGTGCGCCTGTTACCGATACCAATGTGTTGCTATGGTCCGTGTGTGTGTGCAGGTCGGCTGGATGCCTCTCTGAACCATGCCCTTCACCTGCGCCTGCTTCTGTGGCCTCAATGGCTTCTGTCGCGGCCGGAGGAGGAAGAGGACGGAGGAGGAAGAGGAGGAGGGTGAGGAGCCCGGGGCAGGCTGTAGGGACCAGGAGACTCGAGTGTGAAGATGCCAGAGAGCCTTCGGGCCTTACAGCTGTAACCACATAACTATAGCCACACATGCTAGCTCTGATCGGTGCTACGTGAAGCCACTGCTCACACACTCTGCCTAAGCTACTTTTATACCTTTGAAGCATGACATATACAGTATATATTTATTTATTTATTTATTTTTGCCAAAATCAAAAATGCTATTTTGAATGTCTTCTCAATAAATTTCGTCAAGTCAAAAAAATCAACTTTGAACAGCATTTTACTTTGACTAAGACTGGTTTTTATTCTTTAGTCTTTCTCTCTGGTCTCTCTCTGGTCTCTCTCTCTCTGGTCTCTCTGGTCTCTCTCTCTCTGGTCTCTCTCTGGTCTCTCTGATCTCCCTGGTCTCTCTCTGGTCTCTCTCTGGTCTCTCTCTGGTCTCTCTCTGGTCTCTCTCTCTGGTCTCTCTCTGGTCTCTCTCTCTGGTCTCTCTCTGGTCTCTCTCTCTCTTGTCTCTCTCTGGTCTCTCTGATCTCCCTGGTCTCTCTTTCTCTGGTCTGTCTCTGGTCTTGCTGGTCTCTCTCTCTGGTCTCTCTCTGTTCTTACTGGTCTCTCTCTGGTCTCTCTCTCTCTGGTCTCTCTCTCTGGTCTCTCTCTGGTCTCTCTCTTGTCTCTGGTCTCTCTCTGGTCTTTCTCTGGTCTCTCTCTGGTCTCTCCTCTGGTCTCTCTCTCTGGTCTCTCTCTTGTCTCTCTCTGGTCTCTCTCTCTCTGGTCTCTCCTCTGGTCTCTCTCTCTCTGGTCTCTCTCCTCTGGTCTCTCTCTCTCTGGTCTCTCTCTGGTCTCTCTCCTCTGGTCTCTCTCTCTCTGGTCTCTCTCCTCTGTTCTCTCTCTCCTCTGGTCTCTCTCTGGTCTCTCTCTGGTCTCTCTCTGGTCTCTCTCTGGTCTCTCTCCTCTGTTCTCTCTCTCCTCTGGTCTCTCTCCTCTGGTCTCTCTCTCTCTGGTCTCTCCTCTGGTCTCTCTCTGGTCTCTCTCCTCTGGTCTCTCTCTCTCTGGTCTCTCTCCTCTGGTCTCTCTCTCTCTGGTCTCTCTCTCTCTGGTCTCTCTCTGGTCTCTCTCTGGTCTCTCTCTGGTCTCTCTCCTCTGTTCTCTCTCTCTGGTCTCTCTCTCTGGTCTCTCTCTCTCTGGTCTCTCTCTGGTCTCTCTCTGGTCTCTCTCCTCTGGTCTCTCTCTCTCTGGTCTCTCTCCTCTGGTCTCTCTCTCTCTGGTCTCTCTCTCTCTGGTCTCTCTCCTCTGGTCTCTCTCTCTCTGGTCTCTCTCTGGTCTCTCTCTGGTCTCTCTCCTCTGGTCTCTCTCTCTCTGGTCTCTCTCCTCTGGTCTCTCTCTCTCTGGTCTCTCTCTCTCTGGTCTCTCTCCTCTGGTCTCTCTCTCTCTGGTCTCTCTCTCTGAGTTATCGGTGCTCTGTAAATCCACTTCTCCCACACTCTGCCTAAACTACTTTTATACCGTTGAAGCATGACACACACATATCTGTGTCTTCTCAATAAATGTCCTCCCGTTAAAAAAACTCTGCACTATTTTACTTTGACTAAGACTGGTTTCTTTTGAAGATGAAGCTTTTAGGCGGGAAAGTAGAAGTAACTCTGTAAAAAGTGAATATGAGGTCATCCATTCTCAAATCAAGTGATTTTATTTTAATCCGACACATTCTGACTGTGGCAAGATGTCTCTCTCTGGTTTCTCTCTCTCTCTGGTCTCTCTCTGGTCTCTCTCTCTCTGGTTTCTCTCTCTCTCTGGTCTCTCTCTCTCTGGTCTCTCTCTCTGGTCTCTCTCTCTCTGGTTTCTCTCTCTCTCTGGTCTCTCTCTCTCTGGTCTCTCTCTCTGGTCTCTCTCTCTCTGGTCTCTCTCTCTGGTCTCTCTCTCTCTGGTCTCTCTCTCTGGTCTCTCTCTCTCTCTGGTCTCTCTCTCTGGTCTCTCTCTCTCTCTGGTTTCTCTCTCTCTCTGGTCTCTCTCTCTCTGGTCTCTCTCTCTGGTCTCTCTCTCTCTGGTTTCTCTCTCTCTCTGGTCTCTCTCTCTCTGGTCTCTCTCTCTGGTCTCTCTCTCTCTGGTCTCTCTCTCTGGTCTCTCTCTCTCTCTGGTCTCTCTCTCTGGTCTCTCTCTCTCTGGTTTCTCTCTCTCTCTGGTCTCTCTCTCTCTGGTCTCTCTCTCTGGTCTCTCTCTCTCTGGTCTCTCTCAGCATTGCTCTCACATATGTTTATTTCCTGAATCTCTGTTATGGATCTCCGTCGTCCTCTCTCTCTCTCTCTCTCTCTCTCTCTCTCTCTCTCTCTCTCTCTCTCTCTCTCTCTCTCTCTCTCTCTCTCTCTCTCTCTCTCTCTCTCTCTCTCTCTCTCTCTCTCTCTCTCTCTCTCGTGTCTTTCAGGACATACTCAGGTCCACAGGGTTCATTTTATTCATCAATAAAGCTCTCTTTCTCAAAGGTTAGGCTTCTCTCAAAATGATTTAAATGTTTTTCAAATTAGAGAAATGTCAGTGTTGCATTCACAGTTACACAACAGTAAGAAGGAGGAGCACACAGCACACCACAGATACACAATCCCTCTGTAGTAAAATAACATGTCTAACTTTAGCATGTTCAAGAAGCAAGTCTAACATGTCTAACTTTAGCATGTTTAAGAAGCAAGTCTAACTTTAGCATGTTTAAGAAGCAAGTCTAACATGTCTAACTTTAGCATGTTTAAGAAGCAAGTCTAACTTTAGCATGTTTAAGAAGCAAGTCTAACAACTCTAACTTTAGCATGTTTAAGAAGCAAGTCTAACATCTCTAACTAATGAGAGCACAAAATGAGGGTCGTGAATCTGCTTTTCCTGGATTGGCTTGTCCTTGAGTCTTTGTTCCAATGTCAGTCTAATCTCTCCCTCTCTGGTCTCTCTCTCTCTCTAGTCTCTCTCTCTCTCTAGTCTCTCTCTCTCTCTCTCTCTAGTCTCTCTCTCTCTAGTCTCTCTCTCTAGTCTCTCTCTCTCTCTGGTCTCTCTCTCTCTCTACTGTAGTCTCTCTCTCTCTCTGGTCTCTCTCTCTCTCTAGTCTCTCTCTCTCTCTAGTCTCTCTCTCTCTCTCTCTCTCTCTAGTCTCTCTCTCTCTAGTCTCTCTCTCTAGTCTCTCTCTCTCTCTGGTCTCTCTCTCTCTCTAGTCTCTCTCTCTCTCTGGTCTCTCTCTCTCTCTAGTCTCTCTCTCTCTCTGGTCTCTCTCTCTCTCTAGTCTCTCTCTGGTCTCTCTCTCTCTCTAGTCTCTCTCTCTCTCTGGTCTCTCTCTCTCTCTAGTCTCTCTCTAGTCTCTCTCTCTCTCTGGTCTCTCGCTCTCTTTCTCTGGTCTCTCTCTTTCTCTAGTCTCTCTCTCTCTGTCTGTCTCTCTCTCTCTAGTCTCTCTCTCTTTCTGGTCTCTCTCTCTTTCTCTAGTCTCTCTCTCTCTCTGGTCTCTCTCCCTCTGTCTCTCTCTCTCTCTCTCTCTCTCTCTCTCTTTCTGGTCTCTCGCTCTCTTTCTGTAGTCTCTCTCTCTCTGTCTCTCTTTCTCTGGTCTCTGTCTCTCTGGTCTCTGTCTTCTGGTCTCTCTCTCTGTCTGTATCTCTCTCTCTCTCTCTGGTCTCTCTCTCTGGTCTCTCTCTCTCTGGTCTCTCTCCCCCCCCCCCCCCCCTCTCTCTGGTCTCCCCCCCCCCCCCTCTCTCTGGTCCCCCCCCCCCCCCCCTCTCTCTGGTCTCCCCCCCCCCCTCTCTCTGGTCTCCCCCCCCCCCCTCTCTCTGGTCTCTCTCCCCCCCCCTCTCTCTCCCACAGTTGATGAAAACTACAGTTGATATGTATGAATTCATTGCGGCCACAGCTGAAGTCTTTCTCGATAGAAATCCACAAATCCATTATTCCAAACAGTCACAGGCTCTATTTATCTGCCTCTCTCTGGACACTGGATTGGAACTAACTCCTGCTCCTCTCCGAGCCCCATCCCTGCCTCTCCCTCCCACCACCACCGCCGCCACCACCACCACCGCCGCCGCCGCCGCCGCCGCCACCGCCGCCGCCGCGGTTAGATCACCTTAGCTAACTTCGGCCGAGTAGGAGAGTGTGCTGCAATTTCCAAAGTCAGTCATGGAGCGAGGCAGCCCATCTCGGCTTTCACGCTGCGCTGGACTCCATCTAAAGGCTGAGCAGCTGTCCAATCGCCTCCTGAGCTGGAGTGTGAAGATGGGAGTCAGAGGTCGGAGAGAGATAACCCCCCTCCTCCCCAAACACCCTCCCTCCCTCCCCTCCTCCCTCCCCTCCCCAGGCGAAAGCAGCATCTTCACTTCACTTATGCACAGACAAGTAATTAGCGACACATGGAGCCGTCTCGTCATCGACACACCGCTGTGAGGAGGATAATTATGTAAGCGGTTTGTAACGGGGCCACGGGGACGGTTGCGCGGCGTTTCGTGAACAAGAAGAACGCGTGAGGGACAGGATTACAAATGAGGAGAATAGTAAGAAGTGAAGGGACGCACCTGTCCCAGCGGGAGACAGTCATGGGACAAAACACGCTGCAGAGAACACACACATGTTACAGATTCTCAGAGCCTTCATCCCATCATGTTTTTATTTTTCTATTAACCACAAAAGAGGTCAAAAGAAAAAGAAAATCATGATCTGATGAAGGCCGAAAGCCAAAATGTTATGAATCAATAAGATTAATTGCAAGTTTATTTATTTTTGTACAGCTCTAATTATCACAGCAGCAGTTTCTTTCGAAGGACTTTGCAAAGCTGTGGATTCACCAACGCAGATCAGAGAATCAGCCTCAGGAGCAGAGAGTCCATACGTGTGGTTGTGTTGTCGTGTTGTCGTGGTCGGAAAAACTTCAACTACTTAATTTCTTTGCAAACACAAAAGTAATCTTTATTTATATAGCGCCTTTCACAGACCAGAGTCACGAAGCACCTGGAGGAAACCTATGCAGACACGAGGAGAGCATGAGACTCTACTCAGAAAGGCTGGGATTTGAACCCAGGACCTGCCACCCACTCTAGACACACACACTCCTCATTAACACACACACACTCCTCATAAACACACACACACACACACTCCTCATTAACACACACCCACACACACACACTCCTCATTAACACACACACACTCCTCATTAACACACACAACCACACACACACACTCCTCATTAACACACACAACCACACACACACACTCCTCATTAACACACACACACACACACACACAAACACACACACACACACACACACACACACTCCTCATTAACACACACACACACACACACAAACACACACACACACACACACACAAACACACACACACAAACACATACACAAACACACACAAACACACACACACAAACACACACACACACACACACACACACACACACACACACACTCCTCATTAACGTGTGATCACTCTCGTCACGTTCCACAGTCAGTGCAGATGTAATTAACCTTTTCCAAAGAGAGCGATGCGCATCACACTCTGCATCTCTCCACGCGCCGCACGCCTCTCCACGCGCCGCACGCCTCTCCACGCGCCGCACGCCTCTCCACGCGCCGCACGCCTCTCCACGCGCCGCACGTCTGCTCAGAGACAAAGAGCACGTCACAGAGTCACGGAAATAAAGGATGCAGCGCCTGACTCTGAGTGATAATCCTGCGCCTCGTATTTACACCTCGGGCCTGACCACAGACTGTTTATATTAACCATAGACTGTTTATATTAACCACAGACTGTTTATATTAACCACAGACTGTTTATATTAACCATAGACTGTTTATATTAACCACAGACTGTTTATATTAACGGACGTAGTCACGCCTATCTCCGCCGTTCTAACTCATGGGCCAAACATTGGGCTTTCATGGAGTGTTTCAAAATGGCCGCAGGGGCTGGAAAATGTGAAAAAACACATCTGTGCATGTGTCAGCTGCACGAGCTCCATTAATTTAAACGAGAGAATTCTAAAGTCCACAGCGACTAAACTAGACTGGTCCAGAACACTCAGCATTGACACACATGTGGAACGGAGCTTTGGGCCAAGAGACAACTTTGGCTCCTGGCCCAACCAGCAGGAGGCCAGTCCCTGTGCTCTTCAGAGTCCCAGCAGGAGGCCAGTCCCTGTGCTCTTCAGAGTCCCAGCAGGAGACCTGTCCCTGTGCTCTTCAGAGTCCCAGCAGGAGACCTGTCCCTGTGCTCTTCAGAGTCCCAGCAGGAGACCTGTCCCTGTGCTCCTCAAACCTTAAACGCAAAGATAGTTTATGGTTCTGTCTGAGTTTTGCTTCTGTTGCACAGAGTTCAACAGCGTCTGCCTCTGGAATTGGATACGCTGCCGATGTAATAATAAGTTGTGGAATCGGAGCTTAATCCAATAAATTACCTGCAAATACTGGCAGCACAAAGAGCTACACAACACGTCTCATTGTATCCAACAACAACACACTTAGAATCCGAGTGGCAGCCGAGATTACCTCCTCTCGCTCTGATTGTGCAAAAGCCAGGATTTCCTGAGGCGTTTAAAAAGCTGCTTCTGACAGATTCAAGGGTGTGCATGCCCCCTGTGTGTGTGTGTGTGTGTGTGTGCATTTGTGTGTGTGTGCATGTGTGTGTGTGTGTGTGTGTGTGCGCGCGTGTGCGTGTGTGCGTGTGCATGTGTGTCGTGTGCATCCATAGATTGTCTGTTTACTCATTAATCCGCTACAAGCAGCGAAATGAGACAAAGCTAAAGCCATTTCACAGTATAGAGCACCTATTATGATTCAGGGTATTACGGCTCGGCTTAATGAGGAGAGGAGAATGAGGGGGGGGGGGTAATGAGAGCTCCAGCTAATGCTAGACGGCGTGCTAATTGGCTACAGTGGGTAACTTTCTGAGCCGGAGCGGGGAAGAGAACAGCCTGATCTGTTGCCGTTACCGTCGTTTAGCACTCCCTCCATTTCACCTCTTTAATGGGACGAATATTCGCTCCGACTTTAAATTGCTAACAATTTGTTGCTTGCTCAAACTCTGCTCAGAGATGATCGAATGGTGCCAAAGAGCAAGTACTTTATGGATCACGGCAATTTTCAGGGAATAGTCACTCAAGGACAAACAGCTAAAAATAGACGTGTGTGTGTGTGTGTGTGTGTGTGTGTGTGTGTGTGTGTGTGTGTGTGTGTGTGTGTGTGTGTGTGTGTGTGTGAGCTGTGCGTGTGTGTGACTCTGAAGTGAGGAGGAGGAGGAGGGACGAGGCAGGGGCGTGTCGGAGACTAAAGAAACCGAGTCCTGTCGCATTAATTGGGTCAGAAAAGCAGAGATAGAGAGTCGGCCGAGCGGGAAGTGTGAGATTCATCTGTGGTTCTCTCTCGCTTTCATCTGCTCCACACTGCACCCCCCCAAACCCCCCACCTCCCCCCCAAGCCCCCCACCTCCCTCGCCCATCACATACACCTGCAGGAGGCAAGACGGTCAGGAGAACCAGGAGGGATACAATACAGATACAGCCGAGCAAATGCACTGCAAAAACATCTAAAATACTGCATGAGGTCATTAATGCGTAAATCAAGTTTTGTATCGTGTTCGGACACATTGTGACCGTGTTAAAACCAGATTCTCCAATGGGACAAACAGATTAAGTCTTTTATCAAGAACTGTTGTTTTACTTTTTTCAATCCAAGGGAGACATTTCTTGTATCTTTTAAAATAAGGTCGTTTTGTTTTGTCCCATTGGATAATCTTGTTTCAGGCTCAGTCAGAATCTTGTCAAATTAACCTTGTAATGTTCATTCCTTCCTGATTTTCTAAGATGAAGTTTTTAAATCCCTAGTTTTTTTTAATTATAGGCCTTCACAAAATGGTTGAGATGCAGAATGATGTGAAAGTGGCTAAAACCAAGTGATAGAGATGACTCAAAGAGGGAGATTTCCAAGTCATTTCCAAACTTCAAGTAGATACAGAGACTCAAAATAGGATCCACCAAATGCTTAAGGAAAAACCATCAAAGAACAAAGATACATTTTGCCAAATTTTAGCAATTTTTGACGGATTTTTCATCACAAATACATGGATGAAATGCAGCTCATTTTTGGCTCTGTGCAGTGTAATGAGAGAGCACACACCTGTCCCAGCAGAGAGCCCAGTGTAATGAGAGAGCACACACTGTCCCAGCAGAGAGCACACAGTGTAATGAGAGAGCACACATGGTCCCAGCAGAGAGCCCAGTGTAATGAGAGAGCACACACTGTCCCAGCAGAGAGCCCAGTGTAATGAGAGAGCACACACTGTCCTAGCAGAGAGCCCAGTGTAATGAGACAGCACACACTGTCCCCAGCAGAGAGCCCAGTGTAATGAGAGAGCACACATGGTCCCAGCAGAGAGCCCAGTGTAATGAGAGAGCACACACTGTCCCAGCAGAGAGCCCAGTGTAATGAGAGAGCACACACTGTCCTAGCAGAGAGCCCAGTGTAATGAGACAGCACACACTGTCCCAGCAGAGAGCCCAGTGTAATGAGAGAGCACACACTGTCCTAGCAGAGAGCCCAGTGTAATGAGACAGCACACACTGTCCCAGCAGAGAGCCCAGTGTAATGAGAGAGCACACATTGTCCCAGCAGAGAGCACACAGTGTAATGAGAGAGCACACATGGTCCCAGCAGAGAGCCCAGTGTAATGAGAGAGCACAAACAGTCCCAGCAGAGAGCCCAGTGTAATGAGAGAGCACACATGGTCCCAGCAGAGAGCCCAGTGTAATGAGAGAGGCACACATGGTCCCAGCAGAGAGCCCAGTGTAATGAGAGAGCACACATGGTCCCAGCAGAGAGCCCAGTGTAATGAGAGAGCACACATGGTCCCAGCAGAGAGCCCAGTGTAATGAGAGAGCACACATGGTCCCAGCAGAGAGCCCAGTGTAATGAGAGAGCACACAGTGTAATGAGAGAGCACACAGTGTAGTGAGAGAGCACACAGTGTAATGAGAGAGCCCGACTTTAACTCATGAATCTCCTCAAAGGGTTCGTCTCTGGTTCAAAAGCAGAAAAGTTGCACATTTTACAAAAACTGACGCCATTAATTTGTTTTCACGCTTAAATATTTGCAGCCCCTTTAATGTTGTTATGCTAATTATCAAGCTAAAGGTGGGTAGCCATTAGCGTAGCCATTAGCGTAGCCCGACCGAGAAGCAAAGAGCAGACGTAGCTGTGTTTGCCGTTCAGACAAACGCCCACTAGCTTCTCCGCGGCTCGCTAATTAGCATGTGGCTAGCAGGAGAATCCTTAAAAAGTTTGGACTAGACGGCTTTTTTCTACTAATTGCTTCGTGTGGTTTTTACACCTGTGGCGAAAGAGACGCCCGGACTTTTAAATCCATGTGTAGCGTTTTAAAAATCACATGTTTCAGGATGATTAAAGTCTTATTTTCACGACGATATATTTTGCTTCGGCCGATCGTACGCCTGTCGTCCCATGGACCAATAGGTTTTTATGGATCTCAAAATGAAACAGGCCTCTTAAATACAGAACACGGAAACAAGCGACGACGATTAAGTCAAAAGTTGCTTAAATTTGGGGCATTGTAACTTAGTTTAAGCACATTTTGACTGAGCCTTTAACTCTTTGAGTCCAGGCTGGGTCCAGGCTGGGTCCATCTGAGTCCCCTCTATCTGAGTCCAGCTGGATCCATCTGAGTCCAGCCTGGATCCATCTGAGTCCAGCCTGGGTCCATCTGAGTCCATCTGGTCCATCTGAGTCCAGCCTGGGTCCATCTGAGTCCAGTCCAGCCTGGATCCATCTAAGTCCAGGCTGGGTCTGGTTCCAGCCTGGATCCAAAGTCCAGGCTGGGTCCATCTGAGTCCAGCCTGGATCCATCTGAGTCCAGCCTGGATCCATCTGAGTCCAGGCTGGATCCATCTAAGTCCAGGCTGGGTCCATCTGAGTCCAGGCTGGGTCCATCTGAGTCCAGCCTGGGTCCATCTGAGTCCAGGCTGGATCCATCTGAGTCCAGCCTGGATCCATCTGAGTCCAGGCTGGATCCATCTAAGTCCAGGCTGGGTCCATCTGAGTCCAGGCTGGGTCCATCTGAGTCCAGCCTGGGTCCATCTGAGTCCAGGCTGGATCCATCTGAGTCCAGCCTGGGTCCATCTGAGTCCAGCCTGGATCCATCTGAGTCCAGCCTGGGTCCATCTGAGTCCAGCCTGGGTCCATCTGAGTCCAGCCTGGATCCATCTAAGTCCAGGCTGGGTCCATCTGAGTCCAGCCTGGATCCATCTGAGTCCAGCCTGGATCCATCTGAGTCCAGGCTGGATCCATCTAAGTCCAGGCTGGGTCCATCTGAGTCCAGGCTGGGTCCATCTGAGTCCAGCCTGGGTCCATCTGAGTCCAGGCTGGATCCATCTGAGTCCAGCCTGGATCCATCTGAGTCCAGGCTGGATCCATCTAAGTCCAGGCTGGGTCCATCTGAGTCCAGGCTGGGTCCATCTGAGTCCAGCCTGGGTCCATCTGAGTCCAGGCTGGATCCATCTGAGTCCAGCCTGGGTCCATCTGAGTCCAGCCTGGATCCATCTGAGTCCAGGCTGGATCCATCTAAGTCCAGCCTGGATCCATCTGAGTCCAGCCTGGGTCCATCTAAGTCCAGGCTGGGTCCATCTGAGTCCAGCCTGGATCCATCTGAGTCCAGGCTGGATCCATCTAAGTCCAGGCTGGGTCCATCTGAGTCCAGGCTGGGTCCATCTGAGTCCAGCCTGGGTCCATCTGAGTCCAGGCTGGATCCATCTGAGTCCAGCCTGGATCCATCTGAGTCCAGCCTGGGTCCATCTGAGTCCAGGCTGGATCCATCTGAGTCCAGCCTGGGTCCATCTGAGTCCAGCCTGGATCCATCTGAGTCCAGGCTGGATCCATCTAAGTCCAGGCTGGGTCCATCTGAGTCCAGGCTGGGTCCATCTGAGTCCAGCCTGGGTCCATCTGAGTCCAGGCTGGATCCATCTGAGTCCAGCCTGGATCCATCTGAGTCCAGTCTGGATCCATCTGAGTCCAGCCTGGGTCCATCTGAGTCCAGGCTGGATCCATGCACTTGTTTCCCGGGAGCACAAAGCCTTCACCTGTATCTTTCACATTCCTGCCCCCTCCTCTGTCTCCTCCTCTCGCCCTGTTCATTCCGTCTCCCTTTGCAGACAAAACCGCCCTCTGTGCACTTCTTAGGTAACCCACACCCGGCCCCCACCCCCACCCGGCCCCCACCCACACCCAGGCCCCCACCTACACCCGCGGCCCCCACTCCACCCCCACCCAGGCCCCGCTTCACCTGAGATAAGGAGGAACTTTTCGCCCACATTACAAAGACACCGTCCAAGCTGTAATGGACATTGATGGATTATTAAAAACAAGATGGCGGCGTGTCAGATTGAAAAACACCAAAAAAAACGAATGAGGTCGTTAAGAAAGATCGTCAGCGTCTTTTCTTTCTGTACAAACTTAGAGAAATCACCAAAAACTCTAAGATTCTGCTTCACTTGTATCGCTGCGTCATTGACTGTGACTGTGTGGTTCGGTGACATCACAGACAAAGAAAACAGAGAGAACAGAGAGAGAGAGACCAGGGAGAGACCAGAGAGAGACCAGAGAGAGACCAGAGAGAGACCAGAGAGAGACCAGAGAGAGACCAGAGAGAGACCAGAGAGAGACCAGAGAGAGACCAGAGAGAGACCAGAGAGAGACCAGAGAGAGACCAGAGAGAGACCAGAGAGAGAGACCAGAGAGAGACCAGAGAGAGGCCAGAGAGAGACCAGAGAGAGACCAGAGAGAGACCAGAGAGAGACCAGAGAGAGACCAGAGAGAGACCAGAGAGAGACCAGAGAGAGACCAGAGAGAGACCAGAGAGAGACCAGAGAGAGAGACCAGAGAGAGACCAGAGAGAGACCAGAGAGAGAGACCAGAGAGAGAGACCAGAGAGAGACCAGAGAGAGAGACCAGAGAGAGACCAGAGAGAGACCAGAGAGAGACCAGAGAGAGACCAGAGAGAGACCAGAGAGAGACCAGAGAGAGACCAGAGAGAGACCAGAGAGAGAGACCAGAGAGAGACCAGAGAGAGGCCAGAGAGAGACCAGAGAGAGACCAGAGAGAGACCAGAGAGAGACCAGAGAGAGACCAGAGAGAGACCAGAGAGAGACCAGAGAGAGACCAGAGAGAGACCAGAGAGAGACCAGAGAGAGAGACCAGAGAGAGACCAGAGAGAGACCAGAGAGAGAGACCAGAGAGAGACCAGAGGGAGAGACCAGAGAGAGAGACCAGGGAGAGACCAGAGAGAGACCAGAGAGAGAGACCAGAGAGAGACCAGAGAGAGACCAGAGAGAGACCAGAGAGAGACCAGAGAGAGAGACCAGAGAGAGACCAGAGAGAGACCAGAGAGAGACCAGAGAGAGAGACCAGAGAGAGACCAGAGAGAGACCAGAG